GAGGCCCTGGCTCTCTGAGGGGCCTGTTGGTGGTCTGGATGGGCAGTCCTTCATTGTTTTGCAGGATACATAGCCTCCCAGGCCCCTGGCCTCTAAATGGGGACTCCCTGGTCATTGTGACAACCAGAAACACCTGCACATGTTTTCAAATGCCCCAGGGGGAGCAAATTGGAGGCATCAGGGCACAGCATTGCATTGAGAGTAGGCCAGGTGTGTGTTAGGTTGTAGGTGAAATGTTCAGGGACAGACAAGGCATTGCTGTGGTTCTCTGCTTGCTTCACTTGGGATTATGTGTAGAGTGGTGCCTTTTTATCTTCTATTCTTATAATTTATTTATTTTTAGAGAAAAGAGAGGAGAAGGGAGGGAGAAGGAGAGGAAGAGAAACATCGATGTGTGAGAGAAACATTGATCTGTTGCTTCTTGCATGCCCTCTACTGGGGCCCTGGCCCCCAATCCAGGCATGTGCCCGGTGGGACCCGCACTGGTGACCTTTCAGTTCGCAGGGCAGTGCTCAGTCCCCTGAGCCACACCAGTCAGGGCTCCTTTGTTTTCTTTTTTAGATTAAAAAAAATTTAAGCATGTGTTTATTAAGTACCAGTGATACTCTAAGTGCTGCAGATCAGCCTTCAATAAAGTAAAGTGCCAGCCTGCAAGGAGCTTAAAATCTAGTGAGGAGAGCTAGATGACAAGCTAAGTTACCCAGTGAAGCGTTTCAGATGGTATTACCAAGGACATCAATATGATGAGTAGTAAGCATGGAAGTTATTTCAGTCATCAAGACACACTTTCCTGAAGGACACTGGGAATAGGATATGGGGGATGGACCATTTTAGATTGCAGATATTTCAACACTGGTGAGAGAATGATCTGGAATATAATCAGTATTGGGCAATTCCCAATTGGCGAGAAATCCTCTGTGTATTCACTGATAAGGCCCGACTGACCTCAGGCAACATGGTGAGTGCTCTCTCTTAGTGGCCTTGAGCTTGAGTCTGGAGGTCTGGAGGTCTGGCTTCGGTGTGCCGGTCTCCCAGAGGGCTAGGGGAAGCCAAACCTTGAAGAATTTGGAGAGTGTTGCTGTTTAAAACTCCTTGGTGGGAACATGTACATGTACATATATGTGCTTCTTACACCCTTTGAATATGCTTGGAAGAATATATAAGGAGCTACCATTGGTAGGGGGAATCACCCCATGATGTGCTTATTGATTTTAGGGAAAGGGCAAAGGAGGGAGAGAGAGGGAGAGAAATATTGATGTGAGAGAGAAACGTCGATTAGTTGTCTCTCATACATGCCCTGACCTGGGACTGAACCTGCAACCTAGGCACGTGCCCTGACCGGGAATGGAACCCTCCACCTTTCACTTTATGGGACAGTGCTCCAGCCAACTGAGCCATACCAGCCAGGGCTAAAAAATTTTAATATTTAAATTAAAAAAAAAAAATACACTTACCTGGCTCACAATTTAAAAAGGTACAAAAAGGTATATGGTGAAAGACTGACTTGGTATTGCATACTACTTAAAGTTTTCCTTCTGGCAAATGTTAGCTATTTAAGAGGTAAACTAATTCAAGGGAGGTTCCTTGGTGTTTTCTCAGGAAGAAAGCTTTGGGTTAAGTTCGCATAAGGCCTCCTAAATACTAAAGCTGTTTCCATCAGATCGTTTCATCTGGTCAGAAACTTCCTGTCATTTGTGGGACAGCATTAATAAGGCCGTTGCTTAATAAAATGTGGTCTTAAAAAAACTTGATTATTTTGATTAATTAGAAAGGTTCAGCTCTTGCCTAGGTTTGCTCATTAGCAACAATTTCATAAGTTTGCTACAAGAATTAAATGAGGGAAGAGCTAAATAAATGTTAGCACTTAGTATTTACCAAATGGAGCGAAGGACACCCTCAGAAAGATAATCAGCTTTAACATGCAGCCCATTCAGTTGTGTTGCAGCATTGCTCCCCTCTTCGTTGCCCGCCATTCATTCACTCCACAGATGTCTATGGGAGGCCCAGTGTGTGCCTGATGCTGTCCTAGCCCTAGGAATACAGTGAGGGGGGCGCTTCCTCCCGCGGTGTCCCCCAGCATCGTGGATGAAATGACAACGCCCAACGCAAGATCTGCTTGGGGAGAAAAGGCTGGCTAATCTCTCAGAGAAGAAGAGCACCAAGCACCTTTCTCCTTGGGCTTTTATTGAGTTTAGCTCAGGTAGGGATGCATAGCATGCCCATAAAGCTCATCAAGCAATGTTAAACAGTAATGATTGAAGGAAGGAGATATGGTTTAAGGGTAACAGTAAAGGGATTATAAGAGTCTTTCTGAATCAGGGTCTGGTAGACAGAATGACACCCATTCGGCCCTAAAACCTGGGAAAATAAACTCATCCTATGCTTGGACCCCAAACACCTGTACTCACTCATTAACTCAAGGGCATTCTTAGCAAAGCAGGTTTCATAGGATTTAATGCATTCCTTTTCCAGGCCTAATTGTCCCCAGGAACCGCCAGACAGTTTAGGGACTGTACCTTCCTCTAGCATTGTTTCACGCCTGAGCCAGGCAGGGGAAGCAGAGCCGCCAAGAGATAAGAAGACTTCTTTCCAATAGAATGAGGACTCCGGCCATGACAAAGCCGAGGGGTGAGGGTCTTTTGCCTCTTCTCGTGTCCCCTAAGTCCTTCCCTGATGGTCCCTATGTGACTGTGCCTGTCTTGGGTTGCTCCTGGCATTGAAGAGTCTTACCCATCATAGACCAACCAGCCATCCTCTGGGGCCAAGTAGGGTGATGTGAGGGAGGCAGGGGGATAAGTTTTGTCTCTTCAGTGGCCTATTTTCCCAAGGCCTCCTTGCTCAGCTCCAGCCTTGGGGCCTTCTTGCCTGTCGGTGAGGCTACAGTCCTTGAAACCAGGCAGGATGGTTCCCAACAATACAGGGAGGAGCAAACGCAGTTCGCAAGTTTGTAGTCTGGTGAGGGATGTGGACACCACACTGATAGTCACACATGTGAAACTGCAGTTCTGCTCAGCCCTTGAAGGAGAGGTACAGGTTGTTTGTGTATAATAGGGAGACTTGAGCCTGTCATGGATGTCAGAGAGGAAGTGACTTAGCTGGGATCTAAAGGACAAGTTAAATTGTCAGAGGGAGCAGCAGGAATAGCATGTGCAAATGCCTAGCTGACAGGAGGCCAAGGCCAGTGTGTCTTGTGGGCAGGGCTGGGGAGTGCGTGCCACACGCAGCTGGGAAGTGGTCAGCGCAGGTGCAAGACCTTGCAGGCTAGGCTGAGAATTTTTTCTGTATGAGAGTTGTTGGGGTGGGTGGGTGGGTGGTCGGGAGGTAAGCTGATCGGATTAGCATTTGAAATGGTAGTCTGTTTGCAGTGTGAAGATTGCAAGTTCACCCAGCATGGATGTGGGCGAACTGATGGGGAGGCTATTGCAGAGTGGTCCAGGCAGGAGAGATAGAAGCCAGGACCATCCTGTTGGCCCTGTACGTGGAGAGAAGTGTGTGGGTTGATTTGACGGGTACTTAGGAAGGAACCCTGGCAGGGCTCGATAATGTGTTAGCTCTGGCGAGGGAGGGAGAAGGAACTGTGGATTCTCTTTGGCATACTGTGGTGGGAGGTGGTCCCATTCACTCAGAGGGAGAGGATTGTGATTCTGCTGTGCACTTATGTCCGAGAGGGGTCAGGCAGGCTGCTGAGTGTAGAAATCAGAGGGGCCTGGGCCACATCTCAATGCAGGAGTCTACGGTGCCTGAGCCCGGGGAGGGAGGGAAAGCATGCACACGTTCCCTGAGATGTGCTGGTGAGTTCATGCTGGTGATTTCATGCTGGCTGGCCTTCTTGTCTCTGGACGGGGAGGAGCTCTTGAGACAGGACTTTGGATGGGGAGATAGAGTCCATCTCCCAGAAGAGTCCTTGCCAGGGTGCTGGGTGCCAGCTGTGTGGTGGCAGCTGGGCAGAAGGAAATCTTTGGGGACCCTCTGTGTTCTGTACTCTTCCCCTTCCCTACCTCCTGCTCTTTTTCTCAGGAGGCCTGGCACTTGCCACCTGATCTAGCTGGAAGGCGTGTGGAGGCTGGAGGCCGGCTCCCAAGACCCACATATGAGCTGCACTTGTCTGGATATTATCTGTAGATAATTGGAAATTGGCTTGAACATCAGTAACAGTAAACCAGTCGTAACTCTCTCAAATTGCTTGTTTTATTCTTTTGGAGATTTGTAAATTTCCCCTGAGCCTGCCTGTCTCTGTCTGTCTGTCTTTCTCTCTCCATTGCTCTGAATTCTGGGAAGATGACCCAGGGGTTGAAGGCAGATGTGAGGGTGAGGGAGGGATTTCAAGGAGAAGGAAGCAGACCAGGTCAGAGCCAGGCGAGAGGACCCCATGCTGCCTGCCTGCCAATGGGCCAGTTTGTCGGTCCGTCTGTCACCAGCTTGTTCTTAAAAAAGAATTTAAGGCTGGCTTCCTTTTCTGCTGTGGATCCCTTTTGGCAGGGACTGGTGTAGGAACCAGGGTAAGTAGGTCCTGCTTCCTGCCTCCAGTACTTGCCCAGAGAAAATCCGGAGTGTGAGCAAGTGGGGCCCCCTTGTGGCTGGATCTGGTTCTCCACTTTAGCCCTACCTTTCCTGGGCAACACTTGGGAGGTGGCACAAGGAGGTTTTGCGCTCACTGCAAGCCTTTCCTCTGGACGTTGCTATTTCCATGGATTTCGTGATGGTCCTCAGCCCCTGCTGCCCAGCGGCTGGTCTCGGGCCCTCCTGAGCCAAACCCAGCCTTCCTGAGGGGCTGGCAGTGAACCTAGCAGTCTCTATACATCTTCACATTCACCTGCAGCTTCAGACGCCCTGGGCTGCTTCTTACAGGTAGCCCACCCAGCACACTCTGCAGTGTGAAAAAATGGCAAGAAACATGAAAACGAGGTCTGTGTGTGTTGCTTGTGAGTAAAATGCCTTCGGTTTCTGATGTCCATTGGGTGGCACTGTGATCTTACTTTTGTTTCTGTTTTTCTCTGCAGCCCAGCTCTACTCCAGGGAGTGAGAATGCGATGTCCCGGGAGCCACTGGTAAGCGCCTGGGTTGCATGTGGGTCGCCTTCTTACGGTTCAGACACAGCATGAGAGCCAAGAAACCCTCCGAGCTCCCAGTTTTACGTCAGCTGTGTCCCTTTAAAAGCAGGTGTGTGGAGAGTAACCCCACCAGTGACCTCTGCCTTCTGCCTTTCTGGCTTCAAGGCCGGCCAGTGAGGTCTCTTCCAGTAAAGTCTGGTCTTTTCTGGAACTAAAAGCATCCACCCCAGCTGGCGATGCACCCCTTGGTTTACTGTTGATTAATATTAATTAGTGAGGTGCCCGAGGCCTTTGGGGCTGAGTGAGTTGGAGTGAGGTTGCTCGGTCTCACGAAGTTACTGCTTGATGCTCTGGAATGGCCATTCCCCGCCCTGAAGCATGGGAGCACCTCAGGTGGCCTTTGAAGGGGCAGGTAGGGGAGGGAGCCGTGTGTCTCCTGGTCGGCAGTTCGGTTTGTGGTATTTGTTTCCAACAGTATCTGCTTATGCTGTTCATAGAGAAGAGGCCTACTGAGGACGGGAAGTAGTTTTTTTTGACAAAGCGCTCTTGCCCTGGGGGTCGGAGCCAGCATGCCTTCTCGCCCCGTTTTCATCCTCTTGGGCACGTCAGGGGCCAGTCCGTTGCCCAGGTGGAGAGAGCTGCTCGGTACAAACCAGACGTGTTTTATGGAGGAGCCAGCGTCAGGGTGAACTTTTCAGAGATTTTCCTCTCTTTGAATATTGACAGCAAGCTTAGGGGTGCACCATTGAGCTTTGTTTCCACGGAGGCTCTCTTCTCGCCTCTTTTCTTCCCCTCTTCCTGGCAGCAGCGGTGGGAGGAGGTGACGCGAGGCCCCTGGGTGGTGTGAGCACGTCTGAATTCCAGCCTCTTCTGAGGCTTTCCCGGGCGGACGGGGAGCTGGGTCTGGCTGAGCTGCAGAAAGACCAGGGCGGTGATAGCCCTGCCAGGACCGTCTGGGGAGAGTGCTACTGTCACCATGTCACCTGTCAGCAAGTGGGGCTCATTGCCCACCCGCCCCCACAGTGGCTTCGTGTCGCTCTTTTGGTTTTGCCTGTGTTCTTCCTGGAGGCTGTGGTGGTGTGAGAGCCGGAGGAGCCTTCGCTTTGCCAGCCCCTGAGATAGGCGGCTCAGGGTCCCCTCGCGGCCTGCCCCGGTGCCCCTCGGGCTCAGGCTGTGGTTGGTTTTGGACTAACGTCCCAATTGAACATGATGGTCCTCTCCAAGTCTTTACTTCCTCAGTCTGTTTTAAAATTTTGATCTCCTGATTTAACTGACCACCAGAAGAGTGGCTGGTCCATGTTGGGGGACATGATTGGACAGACCCTGGGAGGTTCTTTCCAGCAGAGAATCCCGAGCAGCTGGCAGCCTTGCTGGTCTCTGGTGTTCGGAGCCCTGCGGCCCCTTGCTCTGCCACTGTTCCTGTGCGCTGCTCTTTTCCTGCTCTGCTGCGCATCAGCTTGTTGGTTGGTTGTATTTTTATTTCTTTCTTTTCTGGGAGGCCCTGAGCAGCCTTCAAGCCCTGGTAGCCTGCGATTGTCCAGAGTTCAGACTCATTCTCTCCAGGCCAACTCTACAATTACCTTATATTTAATTAATATTTTTCCCCCTCTTTACGTACTTGCTGCATAATTGCTCAGAGGAAAGAAAACACATAGCAGCAATTTATATATATATAAAAAAAACAATAATTAAAAAAAACCCCGAAATAAACTCCCATCTCATTTGGGCTGATCCTATGAGTTGGGTAATTAGGGCCCTATTAAAAGGTAGACCCCTCTTTTTTTTATTAATTTTTTTATATTAAACTCCCACAGTCTCTCAGTCATGCCCTTATTGCTTTTGGCCAACCACTTGCAGCAGCCTGATTAAATGAGGGCACCAGCCGAGCTGTATGGTCTTGTGTGAGCTACTTCTGTCTCTGGGGAGTGGCAGCGGGAGGGTGCCAGGCAGAGGAGCCGCCCAGGGGCTAGCAGGGGCTCGTGTGGCAGGCTGTGGGCACAGGGCAGGTTGCTCGGAACTGGCAGCGGGCCTGCAAGAGTCACCGGGTACTGGAGAAGTGGTGGGCGGCAGTCCCCACCCACGGAAAGCCTTGCAGCACTCAGCCCCATCACCCTGCCGGAGGGCTCCTGCTGCTGTGTGTGAGCGGCTTCCCCGTGCTCGGGAGCGACAGGCAACGGAAGGATAAAACTAAGCCTTCTTCCCAAGTAATTTGTATGTTTTATCTGGGGGAGAAAGGTGTCTGTGTACCTGAAACCATTAGCAAACAGCACAAGGCTACATTATAGTTTTAGCAAACAGGACAAAGTCGTATAGAACTTGATACAGAATTGCCTGGCTTGGAGCCTAAGAGAGCCCCCTCGTTATTCAGAAAAGGACGAGTGGAGTAAGGGGTGTCCGGGGGTGGCTTTGGTGGTGCTGAAACCAGGCCTTGAGGAGTGGGCTGTGTGGGTGCCCGCTGGGCTGTTTTTGTTTTTGTGTTGAGCTGAGTGCAAATATTCCTTAATGGGAGCTGCCTGTTCCCTACAGCACAAGGGCTGAGCATGGGACGCTGAAGGCAACTACTCTTGTTCTTTGTCTCCAGAACTCGATGATCACTTTGGAATTTTTCCCCTTATTAAAAAATGAATTATGACAGAAGAGACTCTATTGACATTGACAGTAGGTGGGTGTATTTGGGATTCTGTATTACCGTTTTGCTTTATTTGCTTGGGAAGGAGGGCCTGATTTTCATCTCTATCCTCTTTGGACCATAAAAGCAGGCTTGTGATTTTGTGCTGAGAAGTATGGTCTTGTCATTTCTAGATGACATGGGTGTTTATATCCGTCCCTTTGTCTTGGTTCTACCCAAGGAGTGGCACTGCATGTTCTCTTATCCCTCCAGTCCTCCTCCCCCCTCAAAACCGACCCAGCAACTCCGACCGTGTAAGTGGGTAGTCGCTCTATAATGTTGTAATGTTCTGGGCTGGAGGTTGGTGGACAGACCAGTCTTGATAAATTCTGTAAACTCCCAGTTGAAATTCTGATTGTTAATGACAAAACTCTTTGCCAAAGTTAAAATGGCTGATTACCTTTTCTTTTTTCTACTTTCTTTATGGAACCCCTAGGGCAAGGAGTTTTGACAGCCCCCCCGGAGTACTGACCTCCAGCCTCTCCCAGGCCTGTTCAAGCCCTTCTGTAAATTCCCTGTAGCCCTGGCTGCTGTGGCTCAGTGGACTGAGTGCCGGCCTGCAAATCGAAAGGTTGCTGGTTTGATTCCCAGTCAGGGCACATGCTTGGGTTGTGGGCCAGGTCCCCAGTTAGGGCATTTGGTTGGGGGCCTGTGAGAGGCAACCAATTGATGTATTGCTATTTCTCTCCCTCTTTTTCTCCCTCCCTTCCCCTCTCTCTCAAAGTAAATAAATAAAATCCTAAAAAAAAATTTTCCCGTAGACCTGAGTTTTCTGGGCACCTGTGTGGGCACAGGCTCAGGCTCCCGCAGAAGCTTTGGGCTGGGTTTGCTGTGGCAGGATCAAGTCCCACCTAGCTGAGAGGTCTTTCAGAATGGGTGGACGCTGTCTGCACGAGCTACCTCAGTTCCTGTCTTGCCTGGATACAGAAACTGGGGTTAAGTAACCCTTTGTGAGTCCTTTTAGTCATGTGATTTTAGGTTATTTGAAGTAAGCAAGAAATAAGTTTCGTTTACGCATCTGTTTGCTTGTTTCAACGCAACAAGTTCCTCAATATTCAGCAACATTATTGCTCATCTATTTTATACAAGACTTACAGGTTTTGGCTAAACTAGAATTTCAGCTTTTTGCTCTTTGACACCAAGTTCTTTCTAATGGATGAATCTTCTGCCATTTTCTCTTCCTCTAATTGGAAGGTATCAGTTTTTTTATGTGTGTTTGTTTTTTTGTTTCTATCCTTTCCCTGCATCCACCCACCAAAAGAATGCCAAACTACATGAATGTATTTTTATAAACGATGGAAGTAATTTCTTCTTTATCCCCTTCCCTGGGATTAATATTTTTTGGTATGCCAAATTTCTAGAAACAGGGATGCCCCATACTTGCAGATCCAGGCTGGGTGTCGGTAGTTTTGCCCTTCAAGTACAGGAGTCTCCGTGTCCTCAGGCTTCTCCTCGAGGCTAAGACAGAACCTTGCCTGGGGGCTCGACATCATGTGTTTGATCTCCGGCCTTCCAGGGAGTGCACCCACCTGACACCTGGACACCTACGGATTTTCTCTTTACTTTTTAAGTCAGTTAACCAGAGGCTGGTAATCAAAAGGCCATTAATATCTTGATGAAATCAGGGAGCTAGTCGGTGAGCTTCTCTTTAAGAATGATTATGGCTCGTCGCCTGTGTTCTAGAGACCTCTCACGTATTCCTGGCAAGTGCTTCCCGGGGTTCGCATCTTGTGCGGTTAGAGTACCTCGGTGAACTTGCTGGCGGGCTCGCTGTGGTGAGGCGGTTGTCTGTCCTCCCCACCCCCCAAGACTTTCTAAAGGATGACATTCACATGCTCACTGCATTTCTTCGTGTGTACACTCGTGCATTATGGATGTGTGTATATATGCATATGTAGACCATGTAACACATTTATTTTATAAAATTCAAAGCGCTTGGTGGGGAAATAAAGTTGATTTTAATATTGTATTCATGAAGTGTTTTACAAGCATAGGGGCAATGGAGCTAGCCATGTAGCGATTTCAGGAAATTGTCATTTTTTTTCCCCAGGAAAAATAATAAATATGATAAATCTAAAGTATTAAGCATTCTTATTTAAAAAATTTATAGTGGTTGATTTCTGTGGGCTGTAGCCAAGTCAGGCTCGCTCACATGAGCTGCAGTGTCCGCCTCTGGTCCCCACTCAGGGACGTCTGTCTGGACGCCCGTGACTGGGGAGGACGTTACGGAGATAACCCTACCTCTGCTCTATTTATTTATTTTTAAAACGTGCATTCTCTGTCGATGTTGGCACTTGAACTGTTACTAGCAACACATGCTGGGGGGCGC